ACTCCGGACACATCATGAGAAGAGAGGACTCTTTGGAAAAGCCGATCTCAATCAGGACATTCTTGCAACTGCTTCCATTTTGTGTTAATCCAGCAACTCATATATCAGACTGTTGTACTTCGGACACATCATGAGAAGAGGGGACTCTTTGGAAAAAACAATAATGCTGGGAAATGTGGAGGGAAGTAGGAAGAGAGGAAGGCCACATGCCAGATGGATGGACTCTGTTAAGGAGGTCACCATGGGTATTAAGGGGTTGCAGGAATTAAGCAGAGCAATGGAGGACAGAGGGTTGCCGTGAGTCGAGATCAACTCGAGGGCACTCAACAACAACAACAACCACAGCCATTAAAGGTGCAGGTTGTTGTGTGCCGCCTTCAAGTAGCTTCCAACTTACGGCGACCCGAAGGCCAGCCAGCCAATCTCTCACAGGATTTTATCGGTCAGATTTCTTCAGGGGAGGTTTGCCGTTGCCATCCTCTGAGGCTGAGAGAGTGCGGCTCGCCCAAGGCCACACAGTGGATTTCTATGGCCAAGCAGGGATTCGAACCCTGGCCTCCAGTCCCAAGTCACAGTTCAACGCTCAAATCACTGCACTACTACGCTGGCTTTCCGAAGGTACCGGAGCCCTCTCCGACTCCACCGTCAGGGAATCCTCCGTGCGCAGCCTCCCTCGCTCTGGGGGAGCCGTTAAAGGGACGCGCGGCCGTTCCGTTAGGAGACAGCCGGGCCCGGCGCGAGCCGGGAACGGACCGGGGGAGGGGAGGGGAGGGGAGGGCTGAGAAGGTGGCTTCGAAGGGCCTTTACAGACTGCCAGAAATAATCCAGTTTGAGGCCACTTTAACTGTCCTGGCTCAGTGCTAGGGAATCACGGGAATTGTAGTTTTTTTTCTGGGAACTGAGCCTTCTCTGTCAGATAGCTCTGGTGCCACAATAAACTACAGTTCCCATGATTCCCTAGCACTGAGCCAGGACAGTTAAAGTGGCCTCAAGCTGGATTATTTCTGGCAGTCTGTACAGGCCCTCAGTTAGAAACCTGTGGGGAGCGCGAGCGGTAGAGACAGAAGCACTTTCCAATCCCCTCACTCACTCACTCCCTCGCCACCTTTTCCCTTTGGCCAAACTAACCTG